TATTAATTAAAACAAAATTAAAAAAAATAATCAAAAGTTTTTTTTAAAAAAGAAAGAAAGGCCATTTGACCTTAGCAGGCAGACCTGCACCAAAAAGGTGCAAAGCTCTTGTACGCTTGAGCATAAAAGGTTAGACTTTTTCACTTGACTGAATTTTTTATTAATAGAGAAAACAACACATCATACACTATTTGTTTTTAAATAAAAAATATGTTGTTTGTTATAGTAGACTACTAGACAATTTTTTTTTTTATTAATCTTCAATCCCTCAAAGTTGTGGTTTGAGGTTTTAGATCTAACAAATCTATATTTTGTTTTCACTTAAAAATATTATGGAAACTTTAATAAATTCATTTTAAATTTCAAACACCCTCCAATATCTTTAAGGACTGAAAATCACTCATAACAAAAGGACCCAAATCAATTTTTTCCAATATAATTAAATAAAAACACCATATTTATTTATTAAGCATCATTTTAGAAGATGAACTCATGAAAATTAATATTATTTTTTTGTGGTTGAAATACAGCTTTCCAAGCACTTCCCTTTCTTTTTATATTTTCAGTTTCATCCTTTAGATTTTATTTAATAAAAGATTTGGATTCATTTTTTTGTTGTTGTTGTTTTCTATATGATTGTTCACAGATTTTTAATAAAATATGGATTATCTCATATCTTTTCATTCATTATTTATTATTTTTTGAAAATAACCTATTTTATTAGGCCGATGTGGACCATGCTTTTGGGTAAGGATCAGAAAATACGGGTCTTAACGTGAAATAATTTAGAAGGAAAAATCTAGGAGTGTTGACAAAGATCAACTCATCCATCATATTTGTATTACCTTATTCCACTTAATTTTTTAAAGTCAGTTAATATAAATGTTATAGATCATAGTAGGTTTAAAAAAATCAAATAAAAAGATATTACAATGTGAATGTGAGTTGTTGGTTTTAAAAATCTTTCAACTCGACCCAACTCGTGTATATACTTTTGTCCTCATTTTCATTTTCAAGTTCCAATCCAATTTTGTGTTTGACAGTGATCTCAGCTGAATTACGTCTACCAGCTGCTGAAAAGGTAACTAAATTGTACTGCATCTCAAGTCCAGAACTTGCTATTCTCCCATGTGTGAAGGTGCATATCAATTTTTTTTGCAAATCCATATTAGTTTTTTCCATCATGATTGAATAAAAACATCATATTCATTAAGCATTTCTCTAGAAGATGAAATCATGGACATCAATATTAATTGTTTTGGTAGCTAAAATATAGCTTTCTAAGTACTTTCTCTCCCCTCTATATTTTTTTTCAGTGTCTCTCTCAACATTTAGGGATTGAAAAGTAAAATAAATGAGATTTATGGTTGAATTATAAATTTCTAAAATAATAGGGAAAAAATAAATAAATAAACTAAAATTTTAGGGATCAAAGTGAAGTTTTCTATGCCAAAGTCTAAATGGTGTTTGTTTTGTTTTTCTTTTTTCTCTTAAAATTAGTACCACTTCTTTTAATTTCTTTTTTAATCATAACCTAAGGTTATATTTTATAAAATTAATTTTAATTAATTATTATAATATTTTTCAACACTTTGTAAAAGTGAGAGCATGCAAATTGAAATTGAAAAACAATTCAAACACATAAAACCATGTTAATATAACTGGGATGATGATAATGAAAAACAAAATTCATAAGTAAAATGACAAAAATTAAAGATCAAATTTTTTTTTAAAAAAACTAAATTGTTCATATGAATAGTGTCATATATTGTAAAATAACCCCAACTCTTTTAGTTTATTTTATAATTATAATTTCAAAAATTACGTTAACCTAACCTCCTTTTTTTTCTAAAATGTTCTCCGTTACCATTTGGGAAAGTAACTAAATTATAAATTTACAAAAAGAATATAAAAAAATGGACTTGAAACTTCATCACCATTGCAAAGGAGAACCAACTAGAGTTAAACGGAAGCCTAATATTCCAAAGATATTGAACATAGAGAGAAGCTTAAAATGGAAACCTTGGCTACCATCTTAATTTGAATTCCAGGAATTGAATTCTAGGAATAGAAACCGCAGGATGATGCCTTAAAACAGTCAAATGAACTTAGCCCCTGAAGTACTCTACTAGAATACACTACTAGAATTCCCTTGGACTTAACTGGGCTAATTACGTGGATAGTCACTGGAATATTTATAGAATGATGGGATAGCGTTAAGCATAAGAAGACGCTTGAGTTGTGTTGTGTGATCGGCTTGATTAGAAAACTTATAATTTTTTATCTACCCTGTTAGATTGTGTTTAAATTGTTTTAGAAGATTATACAGAAAAATCGGCTTTTTACAACTTGTTGAAGATTGGAAGACCACCAAATTAGATTTAGAAGTTATTGTTTTGGGTTAATTTTGTTACTTTTTTTCCTATGTTTTCAAATTTCCTCGTGTGTTTAGGTTGGTTTAATTGTGGTTTTTATGTGATGAATAGAATTCTATGTTACATGTGATTACTGTTTTTTTTCTTGTTGTTTTTGTGTGTGTGACGCAATTTCACAAAATTAAAAGACACTACTTGCTTTGTTGCTTTTCCAGCGACGCTGTTTATATCACACTTAAGAAGTTCTAATGATAGATTCCTAGGAAGTTTTGTCTCCAAAGCAAGGGATAAATTACTATCAAAGAAAAGACTAGGACTGATACCTCAAATAAACCGAGCTTCCAGAGCAATTTATCAGAACCATGTTTTTGTAGATGCAAAGTTTCATACAATGCCCCTTAAGATGTCTCAGTATTGCAATGCCTTAAATATCATCCAGAAATAAGTTGTTCTTACTTCTTTTCATCCCCTCCTGATTCTAGCTGCATGAGAAACATCTAAATTTTCCTCCCGACTCGGCCCACGCTTTCACAGACTTATCTTCAAATGCCCCAACCTGCTCTTCCATAAACAATAAACGTGCATGCCCCTAACCCTGAAGAGTTCACTTTTAGAGCCTCAAGAACTAATCAAGCCTTTGGCTAACCGAGAAAGGTAATGGTTCACCATTTTTATCTTTCCACAGTTGAATATCATAGTAAACTTTGCAGGGATGCACTCTGAAATGGTTCGGAATTTCAGCAGCACATTTTCGATGATACCATGCAAAACTTTTCTTGCAAATTGTTGCAGGCAGCAGTCAACAACTCAACATGGGTAACGAAATAAAATCATTGAGGATTGATAAGATCTACAGGAAAGTTGCATTCTGTAAAGTATGAGAGAAGCTTAATGCTAATGTATGTTCTCCTACAGTACCTTACACAGTAGCTCGTTAGCTTCGTAGGTACTCCTGATTGCTCAATTGGGAAAATTGCTAGGAAAGTACTATTCTTTTCAGAAGGATTGAAAAATCACAAACCTTTCTAAATTCCCAACAGAGTTATGTTTGGAGTGCAGCTGAGTTCAAAACCTTGCAGAAAACTTTCTTCGTGTAGGATAAGTTTATACAAACCGGTAGGATTTGGAAGGGTTTGTGTTCTGAGTAGGTACTCGAATCATGGTTTGTTGAGCTTGGCCTGAAGAATTTATGGGTTTAAAAGAGATATATAATTCGTTGAATGGGTTACTCTTCACACTTGGCTTAGAATTCCTTTTCTTTCTCTTCAGGTAGATTCTTTTTTTTTTTTGTCCTCATTATTCTTTTCTTCTTCACATAGAAACGATGGCAAGATCCGAAAGGGATGGTGGTACAAGGAATGTTGATATATACGGTCCTTCTCATGGAGTACATGATCAGGTCACAGTTGATATTGATTCATTGACCTCTTCCGTTGAAAGTATGATGTCCCAAAATCTGATGATGTCTGATAAAGCATGCATCTTTAAAGTGCCCTACATTCTCCGAAGACACAGCGAAAAAGCTTATAACCCCAACGCATTTTCAATTGGCCCCTGGCACCGTCACCATCCACTGATGAAATCTACAGAGAAAGTTAAACTGAAGTATCTCAAAGGCCTTCTCTGCCGAAGATCTGCCAGCATAACACTGAAGGAGATCATCAAATACACCAGGGGGATCGAGAAAGAGGCACGGTCGTGTTATGCTGGACCAATTGATGACGTCGGTGCAGAGGATTTTGTCAGAATGTTGGTAATAGATGGTTGCTTTCTTATTGAGCTATTTAGGAAGGAACAAGATAATCATCTTAGAGAAGATGATGATCCTATCTTCAACATGTCTTGTATGTTGCAGTACCTGTATCATGACTTGATTTTGGTAGAAAACCAAATACCTTGGTTGGTCCTTGAACACTTGTTCAAGATGACCGCGGAACCTGGAAACACGACAGCCCTCGCACACCTTGCCCTTCAATTCTTTGACAACATTTTTTCATTTTGTCCACCCTCCATAGATTTCTCTTACCAAGAAAAAAAACATTTGCTTGACCTCTTAAGAAATTGGTTAGTTTTGTCATCTGGAAAAGAGGAAAATGGTGACACAGGATGGGAACCTATTCCAACCGTCACAAATCTTGTTCTAAATAAATAAAATAACAATGCAATGGGCTCAAATGGGCTTAGTCTTCCAACCAAAGCGTGATAGGCTGGGTCATTTTACGCCGTCTCCATCCATATACTCGTATAATTTGTGGTGTGGGTCTGGTGTCCCACCAAGTTGTCCGGCAAAATTTATGACTAAATTTACTTGCGAGGTTTTCCTGCATTTTATGTATTGCGCCGAAGTAAAATTCAAGACCTAGCAGTTCTCTTTATTCCTCTTGTTTTTCTTCACTGTAGCATGCAAGAGTATGTCAGCAACTGTGTCAGAAATGGTAGAAAATTGACTTTCATGTTTACCATGATTACACTTGATAGTATAATGGAAGGAAAGCAAATCCGTTCTTTGAAGGTAACATCCGATTTGTGAAATTCCTCTGCTTCCTCTGTTCACTGATTTGCATGCTAACAGCACCACTTCATCAACTTTTTTTGGTTGCGCCACTTTATTAGACTTGGGAAGCACATGCAGAGGCATTGCTTTATGATAATATGATGGGCATATATTTCGTAAATTTTAAGGACATCCCTTTTTGAAGACGCAAATGCTCATGAGAATCTGGGTATCATATCAAATAGTGAAGCTTCAAGCCTTTTATTCTCAGGTTTGAACCAAGTTAAAATCCAGTTAAGAACCAAAAATGAAGCAAGTCAGCAGCAAGAATAGCGGCGGCACATGTAAGAATAACAATCCCATCGGAGCTGTAATGAAGTATCCAATTGGGAGGAGACAGAAGAATTTGGGGATCAATCAAGCATGCATGATATAAAAATAATTAAAAATATAAGTTGATTTGGCAAAATTTTCTTTTAAAAATTACATCATACTAGATTGGGTCAGGATAGTCAGGCCTACACACTTAATTATCTTCTTTGTCATCACTTGTTTCTTTTTCCTATATTTCTAAAACAAAAAGAGTAAAAAAATCATTTTCAACATGGTTTAATTCATTTCATAAGTTTTATCACTTCACATGTTGTTTTTATATTTACAAATCTTTCAAAAAATAAAATAAAAATTTAATCAAACAACAAGAAATTCTTTTAGTGGGTTAGATGTATTGTAGAACTAATAATAAGGATTGGTTTTAAAAATTGAATTTCAAAAGAAAAAGAGAGGGGATGATATGGTCTATTTGGAAGTATGATTGCTGTTATTTTTCAAAATAGTTTTTGTACCAAAATATATCATAATTATATATATTTTTATTTTAAAAAAATTATTTTTGATATTAGCATATTAAAACATTTTGAAAATATAATTTTTCTTTCATTTTAAGTAAAATAAAAATGATTTTCAAAAATTTTGAAAACACGATTTGCATGGCGTTCCCAAATGATCTTAAAGGAACTAGGCTTGTAAAAGCTTCTCGTAAAATTTAAATTTAAAAAGATACAATTATTAGAACAAAAAAGTTATGGTTGTTTTTGTAAGAATGATCATTTGGCTTAAATGATCTTTTATTTTTTTTTCTTTTATTCTATTTCTACACGTGTATGAGAGTGTGATTACGTACATTAAGTGGTAGACTTTGTATGGTATCCTTATTATTTTCAGAAAATATGCCCGAAAAAGATAATCAGTTGCTTCATAATAAGAATAACCGTGTTAAAACACTTCGAGAGCACATGAATTCCACAAAAACAAGTGCATCATTATGCATAGTTTTCTCTCTTGATGCATTTCATTTTAATTTTTAGCTTGACATTATTCAACTTTTACCTTCTTTTCATAGCTTAGATTTAGAAAATCCATATTTGCATTTAAGGGAATTTGAAAAGGTCGGCAACACATATAATGACTTAAATTGTAGCATGAACACCATCAGATTAAAACCTTTTCCTTTTTCATTAAAAG